CTAATAACTAGGGTGAAGGTGTGACCTTCCTGCCAAGTTTGAAAGTAATCGGCCAAGCCAAAAAAATCACAGACGAAATCATCTGTGAAAACACTGGAAATCACACACACACACACACAAAACGACAAAAGTGATTATAAGGGCAATCCTAGTGGAGTAGATCGCCAACATTGTTCTTTATTAATACTTTATTTTCACAGGGTTTACTAAAAATGAAATTTCTTGAAAGATTACGATACATTCTAGAAATATGTCGGCCTGACCCGACTGTCGTCATCAATATACTGTTGCTGCTTATCCGATTGGCTAGACACTCGCCAGAAGCGTCACATGAAATAATGAAATGTCCCAGATTGATGAGTACTATATTTACAATGTTTTTACCGACGACTTGGACACCAACGGGTAGGTGAATTGATGAATGATATACAATAATGTTGACAACATCATAATTAAACTTTTAAATTATAAAATTATTATAAATTGTTTCTTGGCTTTTGTGCATGCAGCAAAACTAAATCCTCCCCGGGAGCCTCCTTCTGAGTTCACCTAAAAAGTCTCTCTCACAGGAATCTGTGAAGGCGCCTGACTTATGAAAAAAGTCTATTGTTTTCCTTCATGACACACATTGACTATTTTCGTGCATGTCATTGTATACAGTAATTTTTAATTAGCAACTAACATACTTTCCATTTATAAGCTGGAACCTAAAAATTTTAAAATTCAATTTTTATCAAAAAAACCCTCAAAATTTAAGCAACTGAGGCCATTTCTAGTATCAAAGTACACGTAGATTGTTCATTGAGCAATTGATAAGTGGATGATAAAGAAAGAGACTTTTTACTTTCCTCAGAGTCTTAAATTTAAAATTGTGTCCGCACAAATTGTGTTATAGGCATGGTGCTATGCATGGATAAAATAACACAGGATTCATGTGAAGCAGTCTTCAGTACAGTTGACACATTTTGATTTTATTATGGCCATACTTCAAATAAAAAATCTTTAAGTCGACTTCAAAGACAATTTTAATTCAAGTATTAAGTCACAATTTATGATTACATAGATTTATTTCTATTATATAATGTATTATTTCTAGATCGTTCTATCATCGATGATGTCTATGGTTTCCCAGTGCACCATGCCATGAAATTAGTAAGGGTGTTATGTATGGCTGGAAGAAACATAGCAGCTATCATAGTAAGTACATAGTGGTTTGATGGCATATATCCTCTGACAAGTGAATTAATCACCTTCAAAATATATGCCACAAGGTTTTGTCCAGTATATGTATCAACATTTATAAACAGTCTGATGAGTGTGTACTCATCTATGTGATGGTAATTATATTATACAGCACAAGACAATTTGATTTCTTGAAGTAATATTGCTAATGCTAAAAACATTCAGTTCTTTAGTAATTACCAATAGTCCATACCATATTTGTGTCGTCATTAAACTTTCACGCACATACTCAAACAATAGCGCATAGTATTTTTTTTCGCCCAAATTAAAGATGGCCACCATCAAACATGATCACATTTATGTCAAACTGTAACACATTGCCAATAACCAAAGTAATTTAGCCTGATTGTGGTTCCATTTCAGAAAAACATGTTGTACATAATGAGATATTCATTGCTTAGTATTTTGTCACATTTTACCGCATTCAAATCATGACAAATAAAATTGGGCCTGGATGGAGTTTTTTATTAATGTACCGACACAGTTTATTTTCATTACAGCTTTCCAGGTACAATTTGATGTCTGTCATCATCCGCTACATTACACAGGAGCCTACAGACATGCAGCTCCATGTTGGTGAGGCCTTCATGCTGAGTATCGAGAGCCTGTACGTATGGAAGGCATGTATCATGTACAGTATGACCAGTGAATTCATCCGAGAACTATACCCAATGTTAATGCAGTATTTACAGCACTTTGCGAGGATCTCCGTCCTTCCAAGACCGGGCAATGAAGAG